CGGGTATCCTCTCCAGAGTGCTCAGTTCCGGATGACTCCTCATTTCCTGGATAGAATGGCAAGTGAAACACGGGGAGCCTGAAGTGCCTGGCACCACATACAGAGCTTCTACTTTCTGAAATAAGGCAATAGCAAAAGGTTAAGAAAAAAATATCCTGGCTCTGAGGTATGGTCTGAAGTCCTTTCCTATACGGGCCAAATGCAGAGCTACTGGTCTCCCAGTTCTCCCAGCCAGGTTCCCTGTTGTTTCTCTTCTCCCATTCTTTACTTGGTTTAGATTATTCTGTTCCTAAGCAGCCTTCGTCTAAGGACCCATTGGGCATGTTGTAGGTCAAAGTGCCAGGATAGTAGATGACAGTCTTCTCTGTCTTCAAATCCAGGACAGTCTACACTTGGTAGTAGTGCAATAAATGCTTATCCAGAACGTAGGAGCAGACATTAGGTTTGTTCTTCAGGAGTTAACAATGTAAATATGTAAAATACTTAAAATGTAAAATATATGAGAGTTTGGAATAGAGTGCTTTCCCCTTCTAAATCATTCTTCCTGACCTTATCTCCACCTTCTTGATCTCAGCTGTAACTCATTCAAACAGCAGACTAGGTTCTCCCATTTCCATTCTTCCCAGAAGTTCAAGAAACCCTGTTACTGCCAGTGAAGGAACAACATGTGATGTTGCTCAGCTCTCTCTTTTCTCAGCTGTGGACTGGATATCTGTGCCCTCTTCCCTCGCCCAAGGCCATACCTCTGGAGGGCCTGGAGACCTGTCTCACCAAGGTCTGTGCTGTCTGAGCCACTGCTCTCTGAGATTCACAGCCCTGTGACTTAGGATTGCCTTTCAATAGAATGATGAAGAAACTGGCCTGGGCTGAAAGCGGTACCTCAAGGGTCCCTTTTGTCAACGAGCAAGACACTTCAAAAGCCACCTTTAGATGCCATAGCACTTAACACTCGTGCCCCAGCTTCAGTTCATCCTGATGTGTTTCAGTCCAACCCTGGGAACGACACCAACTTGTTTCTCCTTTCAAGAGATGCCTTCAATAGCCATGGCTTCCAGAGGGCTGATTCACAGAGATCTTAAACTTTTTTGATCCCTTAAAATCTCCTGACATGCCTTAAACTCAGCTCCAATGGTTGCTTTTGATCAAGTTTACATAGGTCAAAACCTTTCTCTTCAATTATAGCGTCTTAACCCTGCTTCCATCACTATCACAACCCATTCTTCCGGATGGAGCAAGGATTTTGTCAGGAGGTGGGAGGAGTGAGCATGCTGCTGCGGTGTTTGTTCTCGGTCTGGAGCTGTTTTCCTCAGAGCTCTGTCCAGTGTCTTTTCTTTGGGTGGGCTCATGGGCAAATGACAGAAATCCTCAGAGGGATATGTGTTCCCATCACCTTTGTACCAAAGATATTCTTACAACCATACATGTTCTTCGTGTTTGGCTTTAATAAATACTCGAATAATATAATTTTAAAAATATGTATATTTTATTGATTTTTCACAGAGAGGAAGAGAGAGGGATAGAGAGTTAGAAACATTGATCAGCTGCTTCCTGCACACCCCTACTGGGGATGTGCCCGCAACCAAGGTACATGCCCTTGACCGGAATCGAACCCTTCAGTCCGCAGGCCAATGCTCCATCCACTGAGCCAAACCGGTTTTGGCTCAAATTTTGTAAGAAGTTTAGAGAAAAGTGACAGCAAAAGTTCTAAGACAAAGAGAACTCAGGTAACTCCTGGGTAACCTTTCACATTAAGGTGGCATAGGATGTCAGAGGCTGTGATAGCACTGTCCAGAGAAGCACAGGGATGGGGACCACAGACCAAGAGGGCTGATGGTAGACCGTGACCTTTCATTGAGGTGCCCCGGATAGCTTGATACAATACCACTTGTACCCTGCATCCCTCACTGAATCTCCTCAGTCCCCCATCTGCTGTGTTCCCCACAGCGAAGGAGAGCTGGACACTGTCTCATGCCCACATTGTTCCCCATGGCTGTAGGGCTGCCTTTTTTCTCACTGTGTCCTCCATGGCATTGGGTAGGAGGTAATGAAGAGGCCAGTTAGGGAGTCAGACTCAGCCTGAGCTATCAGGAGAGGCTCGGACATGCTAACATGCTAGGGAGGCTCGAGGTCTCGGTTGGCCAGAGTCTAGCCCCAGAGCTTGGGTCGAGGGTAAGGACTGTAGATGAGGCCCACAGCAAGCACGAGGAAATGGGAAAGGACCTGGACCTCCCTGGCCTGATGCTCTCCACAGCACATTCCAGAAGCGGGAAGACCAGGAAGGTGAGGTTGAAGGTCAGGGATGCCAGCTACATGCAGCTTATGAGGCAGAACGGGCCTCCCTGCCCTGTTTTCTCAGGAGTGGGGAGTGGGGCATTTCCCACATCTGACCTCTGACCTCTGCTTCTCCAGCAGCAGCACATCACCGCCCTGTGGCCTCTTTCTTCTGTTCTGTAGACCCGGACCTCTCCCCCAGTTCTCTCAACGCCTGTCATTTCTTTCTCCAGTTCTATCATGCCTGCGACCAGCCAGGCATTGTGGTTTTCTGCATCATGGACTACGATGTGCTACAGTTTTGTGATTTCCTGGGCTCCTTAATGTCCGTGTGGGTCACTGTCATTGCCATGGCTCGTTTACAGCCTGTGGTCAAGCAGGTCAGTCCAGCATGGGCCCTGGGGGACACTCATAGCTAAAGTCTACTTGAAATTCATTCCCAACCCCTCCCTGAGGACGTTGCCAAGTGCTTCCCTCCATCCTGGCCCGGCCCCTAGAGTCCTCTTTCTCTAGGTGCTGTATTTGCTGGGGGCTATGCTGCTGTCCATGGCTCTGCAGCTTGACCGGCATGGACTCTGGAACCTACTTGGACCCAGTCTCTTCGCCCTGGGGATCTTGGCGACGGCCTGGGTAAGGGTGGGGAGAGCTTTGGGTGGGGCATCCTAGCAGGACTCGGGTTCAGGGCCCTGGGTATCTGGTCCCCAATTTGAGGAGGGCTAAGACCCTGTCACCATCACTATTGAGGCTCACGGTGCCCATCCTAGTCTTAGGCACCTTCCTGTCACAACCATGGCTCAGGGGAAGCCTGAGAGTGACTGGCTCTGACTTGGGTTCCAGGGCCTCCCATTCCTGAACCCCACTTCTCTGCCTCCCCTAGACAGTACGCAGCGTCCGCCGTCGGCACTGCTACCCACCCACGTGGCGCCGCTGGCTTTTCTACCTGTGCCCTGGCAGCCTTATTGCAGGCAGTGCCATCCTACTCTATGCTTTTGTGGAGACACGAGACAACTACTTCTACATTCACAGCATCTGGCATATGCTCATCGCTGGCAGTGTGGGCTTCTTGCTGCCCCCTCGTGCCAAGACTGACCACCAGGTTCCACCTGGAGCTCGGGCCCGGGGCTGCGGTTACCAGCTGTGCATCAATGAGCAGGAGGAGCTGGGCCTTGTGGGCCCAGGAGGGGCCCCTGTCAGCAGTATCTGTACCAGCTGAGAGGGACTTGGAGTCTGGTGCTTGGAACACGAACCCTTCCCAGAATGCAAAGCACCCTCCTGGGTTTTTCCAGGCGGTGCGGAGCTTTCCCAGGGACGAGAGACAAGTTGTGTTTCTCGAGGACTTGTTGTCTTCCTTGACGTGGAACTCTTCCAGGGACCTGGCACACTTCCTGAAGATTGGAGCCATCCTGTGTCCATTGAGAGTTTCAGGGCTGTGGCCTGTTCAGGGCCTCAGGGCCCCTCAGGACCAGCAGTCCCTCCTAAGGTGTGGAGCCCCTCCCAGGGATATGGAGCCCTCCTGAGGACACGGATTCTTTCCTGCGGAGATAGAGCCCTCCAAGGACATGGCATCACTCCTGAGGAAGTGGAGTCCATTTTGGGGAAACTGAGTCTCCAGATCTTCCAGCAGCTCAGCAACTCTGGCCTCAGGACTCCTTCCCAGAAGCAGCATCTGTGCTGAGCTGTGCTGGGAGGGGACAAGCAGGGACTGGGACTAAAGCTGGTATCTTGAGTTGATGCAGGTGGAGCCTGGTGTGTCTCCAATGAAGTATTTGCTGGTTCTGTGGTGCCTTTTTTTCTGGGGCCAAATGTGTGGGGAGGGGAGGGAAAGAGGGACCCTGAGGAGGTCAGCTTGGGTGATGGGAGCCTAGCCGAATGAACTGCTGGAGCTGCTGTCTGAGGCTTTAGTCCCATTGTGTCGGGCTGCACAGCCAGGAATAGGGAGTTGTGAGTGAGTCTGTGTGTGTGTGTGTGTGTGTGTGTGTGTGTGTGTGTGTTTTGAGATGATTTAAGCCAGTGAGACAGATCTCCCTTGTGGTACCCACACTCAACAAGGAAGGAAGCTGAGTTTCCAGAAAATTGGACTAGCAGGTACAAAGCTCAGATGGGAAGGAATTATCACCAGAATGTAACTTCTGTTTTGAGCCCCATTTGCCTGAGTGCCAGAAGGATCATATTTTGTCAATTTGGAATTTCTTCTCTTTCCACAAAAGTCACAGCTGAGTCCCGAGGGTTTGTGTAGTGCAAAGATGTTGGGAGCATGTTCTTTCTGGTCATCACAGTCTATATGGCACCTTCCCCCGAGATGTACATCATTCCAGCTGGCCCTCTGTCAGCGGAGCAGGTAGGCCTGGCCGGAGCAGATTTCTGGTCCTATCTGTATAACCCCTTTTAGTCCTAAGGCTCTCTACCACTTCTGTGCCACCTGCAATGACAGACCTTGGCTACTCAGACACACCTTGAAGCCACTTAAAATGTGCGTGGAAGTAGCATGCTACTTCTGAGTGGAAGCTTGAAGAGTCAGTGCAGGCCTTGTCATTTTCTCTTTTCCTGTTGTCATGGTGACCAGCAATGTTCCAGTAGTTGCTCTATTACTTTGAGCCCCAGAGGGGTGAAGATAATGATAGAATAGACCCCTCCGCCAGCCAACCTCCAAAGGGCCTGTAGCACGAATGAGAAATAAATCTTTGGGTTCCTAAGCCACTGACGTTTTGAAGTTCTCACCATATCATAACCTAGACTCTCCTGCCGGATAGAGGTTGAGAACAGGAAAAGCGGGGCATTTCCCTGCAGAGCAGCTTCCCCCCCAGCAGAGCTATGGCAGCAGCTTTTACCTCTGCATTTCTCAGGCTGTAAATGATGGGGTTCAGGGAGGGGGTCACGACCCCATAGAACAATGCAATAATCTTATCCAGGTCAGGGTCCTTGGCCTTGGGCTTGAAGTACATGAAGGAGATAGTCCCATAGAAAACCACTACCACTGTGAGGTGGGCGGAGCAGGTGGAGAAGGCTTTGCGCCGGCCTGCAGCAGAGGGCACCCTAAGGATGGCATTAAGGATGAAAATGTAGGACATGCAGATGAGCAGGAGCGGGGCCAGTGACAGGACAGCTGTGGCCACCATTAGAAGCAGTGCATTGAGAGAGATGTCCCCGCAGGCCAGTTTCAGCACGGCCAAGATCTCACAGAAGAAGTGGTTAATGACACGGTGGCCACAGAACGGGAGGCTCCAGGTGACAATAGACTGCAGCAGTGAGTTGGCAAAGCCCGTTCCCCAGCTCAGCACTGCCATCCGCACGCACGTCTGCCCATTCATGAGTTCTGGGTACCTAAGCGGCCGGCAGATGGCCACATAACGGTCACATGCCATCACGGCCAGGAGCACGCACTCTGTGGAGCCCAGTGCCAGGGTCAGGTACAGCTGCAGGACACAACCAGGGAAGGAGATGGTCCTTTGGGCTTCCAGGAAGTTGACCAGCATGAAAGGCACGAAGGAGGATGTGCCACAGATGTCCAAGAGAGAGAGGTTGCTGAGAAAGAAGTACATGGGGCTGTGCAGGCGGGGGTCCAGCACGTTAAGCCCGATGAGGAGGGCATTCCCCAGCACGTTCACGGAGTAGATGCCCAGGCAGAGCACAAACAGGACCATCTCTAAGTCGTGGTGGCCGCATAGGCCCAGCAGGACATACTCTGTCACGGCTGTCTCGTTGGCCCCACCCATGTCATTTTCCCTCCTTTCACATCTGGGCCACACAGGTGCTGGAAAAAGTTCTAGCTGGCCCTGGAGCCAGGCAACCTGAACACGTGCCCTGGGGAAGGTCAGCCCCACCTCTGGAATGTAGTTTCACCGACTGTATACTGAGAGACTTAGACTTAAGGTCTGCAAGCTGGCCTTCTCGGCTCTGCAGTTCTGACTTAACTCAGAGGAGATGAGATACATTCTCGTCCCTTCAGCTCTTTCGTGGTTCCCCCCGGGTGGGCCCGGGAGACAATATTTGATAAGCTCCTCTAGAATTTAGAGTTCTTGTCTGTTAACAGGAAACTCTAGGTTATGGCTTCCTATGGCTGAATCATGCACATAGTTTCAGATTCATTCATTGGTGAATATTTTTGAATGCTCTCTGCTAGGTATTGTTTAGGTTCTGGGGCTATAGCAGTAAGAAAAATAAGTGGACAGGAAGTTGCCGCACCTATCACTTCCCTCTTCCCTGGATTAGGTGAGGTGAGCTCTGCAAGGCAGGTGGTGATGGATGGTGCTCACCGAGTGTTCCTTTTGGGCCTTAAGGGTTGAACATTCCCACTTACAGGGTGCGTAAGCCTGATTTCTGATCATCACTCCTTAAGGAATCACAGACCCTCTGTTGATTTAAAAAAAACACAGTGTATCCCAGTAGAGCCACTGGCCACAGGATTTAAACCTGGTCATGAAAGCCAAGTAGCACCTCTTTGACCTCCATATTGCTTTTTAGGATAGACGGGACTGGCACGGATGTCACACAGGAGGGAAGACCCTGACCTCATCTCGCCGATTTGTCAGTCACTGATGAGTTTGTAAAGGGAGCGCTGGGCAGAGGCTGCAGTCTTCGCCCAGTGCTCTCATTGCTGTCCGGAGCGGGACTCACCGCCTCCTTGGGAATTGCCAGTGTCAGGGATTCCCAGGAGGAAGCTGAAACGTCCCCAAGGCAGTCTTGTTAAACTGGAAAGCTGCCTTGTGGCCCAGGTGACCTCGGGTCTAAAGGAGAAATAGAAACTGAGTGTGACTCTTTCATTCAGAAGATATAAGCACCTCCAGCCCCTTCCCTGTGGGATTGACTGCAAGGCCAGTGTCCTGTGACAGCACTGGAGCCCTGTCTGCCCTTCAGGGATGGATTCCTCCTCATCCTCCCTCCTTAGCTGCAACCTGTTTGTAGGTACACAAGGGCTCACCCTCTGCTTACAGACATTCTTTTTCCCAGTGCTACCTCTTTGCCTAAGAATTTTCCTTTTGTAGGCATGCCCTCCCTCCCTTCTCCAGTGGGGCCATTCCTGCTCATTCCTCAGAGCCCAGCTTAATCTCCTTTTTTCTCCCTCCTGCTCCCTGCAGTCACCTGCTCTCTTCTGACGCTTTTAGTCCTTCGCCTTCCCTCTGTGTTCAGGTAGGTGCTCTGTACCTGTGTCCTCTACTACACCCGTGAGCAGGACGCTGTCTCCTTCCTCTCAGCACTTCCTACAGCGAGTACTGCCAAGAGCAGTCACTGAACAGATAACCAAGGCACGATTCAAAAACTTCCTTTTGCATCCAGCGTCAGCACTAACTGGCTGTGTGATATTGATCAAGTCACTGGACCTCTCTGAGACTCGGTTTCCTTTTGAAAAGTGGGGATGCTGTGTAGCTCAGGGGAAAATGCATGTAAAGGTGCAGGGAGCTGCCCAGCACTAGCAAGTTGTCACTGAGGCTCCAGATCAGAGAATTTGTCTTCAGCCATAAAGCACCTGTTGGGGTGTGCTCGACACCTCCGGAGGTGATGACCAGATGTCTGGCTTACACCCCCTGTAGAGTGGAAATGTTTGACCTTTAAGGCAGCGTCTGTCATGACCCCCTCTCTCCCCAGAGCCTGCAATGGTTTTCCTTCTTTCATCCTGAATCAGGGAAATAGTAAGGGAATTTCTCATGCTACGCCTCCACTGTAGGTTTTCAGGGGGCTCTGTTCCACACCGCCGTCCTCAGAGACCTGGCTGCTGGAGGCTCCACTATCGGGAGCATCACCAGTGGGTATGGCTGGGGAAGAATACACTAGAGCATTTCACACCAGCAGTTAACTGCTCTGACGCAGTAGAGATGTGTTTCACATCCGCCCACAACCCACTGGCCCTGTGTAATCCTACCACATGCTCAGAAAGAGAAGAACGGGAAACATAGCTGAGTGTTTGGATAAAATGACTTTCACACAGAAAAACACTGCATCTATCCGCCAATGTCTCACTCTGTCCTGCCCTGGGAAATCAGGTTCACAGAGAGAGAGGAGTGTCTCTGTCTAATTCCACTCCCCAGATTCACCCCCTGAGAGACTGGGTGATGCCATGAACTGGGCCTGGGAGTGAGGGAACTGGGTTTGATTCTTTCTTCTGATTCTATGACCTTGGTTAAATACTCCTTTTGTGATATGGAAGCATTCGCTTAGGCAGTCTCTGGTACTCTGTAACCGGCAAACATTTCCTCACATCCTTCCATCACCTTCCAATCGTGAAGTCTAACAGGCTCAGGGTTATTTTTCAAGGTAAATACCATATCAATTTCATTAGCTGATCAATCTAGTATGAACCATTTCATACTTATTTTATAAGGAAGGTGAATGACCCAGCAAGATGAAAGCTTGGTTTCCAGTTTCCCTCACAGGCCGGGATCTCAGATTCCTGCATCACTACCTGCTTGCTGTATAGCAGAGCAGGTGAGTGTTGGGTTGGAGTCACCTGACCAGGACCCCAATTCCAGGTCCCACTTGCTAACAGTTTCCTCAGCCCTACCTTCCTTACCTGTAATGCGGAGGTAAGAACAGTATTTCCTTGTGTGGTTATTGTGAGGATCCAGTGACATGGTGCATGCGAAGCTCTCAGCACAAAGCCTGATGCATGGTAAGGAATCAGTAAGTGGTAGCTGATATTCTTAGTATTATGTCCTCTTTCCCAAGCAGATACTCTGATTTTTACATGTCTAAAAAAGACTGACTGAGAGGAGTCAGCATGTTATGGATTCTCCTTACCTCCTACCTGTTGGCCCAGTGGCATTAGTGCATGCAGGTAGCTGGGGTGGGCTGCCACGTGAGCTGGCCCGAGAGCAGAGCTGGGAATTGCCAAGTTCATTACCAGGAGACACACTAGGCTGGGATGGGCCAGGGTTGCGCCCACGAGGACCAGCCTCCTGAGGCCTGCCACATAGACGGCTTGCCTGCTCCCTGCCTTCAGGGACTTTGCAGTCTCTGGCCAATTTAAAGTTCAAACTCTGCAACTACACAAGATACAGGTTTGGCAGCAGTGGGGCTTCAGAGACCCAGGTTCCGTGTGCTGTCCCGGGAAGGGGGTTGGGGCGGGCACAAGAGAGAGACTGGACAGAATCTGAAGTCTGAGTCTCATTGCAGTCCTGCCCTTTTGGGGCTGAGGCTTGGGGACCAGGGCTCCCCTGCTCTGGACCTGGGCGTACTGGTCTGTGAAATGGGCTGTCTGCTTCCACGGTTGTTGTAAGGACCTGGATTCATGGAATGTGAAGAAAAGAAAATTGCTGGATGGGGTATGAGACCCCAACAAGCACTTGCGAGGGACCATTAAGTCCGAGATTTAGTCAGGTACATGAGGTCTACGGGTTTCTTTCTTGTTCTTTTTTTTTTTTTTTTTTTAAATATATTTTTATTGATTTTGTACAGAGAGGAAGGGAGAGAGATAGAGAGTTAGAAACATCGATGAGAGAGAATCATCGATCAGCTGCCTCTTGCACACCCCTCACTGGGAATGTGCCCGCAACCAAGGTACATGCCCTTGACCGGAATCGAACCTGGGACCTTTCAGTCCGCAGGCCAATGCTCTATCCACTGAGCCAAACCGGTTTCGGCTACGGGTTTCTTTACCTCCTCCCTTCTCAATCCCTTATCTTTCATTTTCTGTTTTCTTCCCACAACAAAAAATAAGTTGACACAGTTTAGGGACTAAAATACTGTTTTAAGTAAAGTAGCAGCTGACACAAAATTTTCCATTATGCTATGATTTGGCTTTTGGAATTTTTATCAAGAATACAGGTGAAGATTGTGACCACTTAGTTTTTTTCTTTTAAATTTTTAAAAAAATTTTATTGAATTTATTTGGGTGACATTGATTAGTAAAATCATGTAGGTTTGGACTTCACCAGGATTTATTTAAACATTCTTCTATGGTTGGACATTGAGATTCTTACAATTTTTTATTACTATAAACAATCCCATGATTAATATTCTTGTATACAATTCTTTGTGCCTATATCTTCTTACACTTATTCCTAGAAGTAGAAAGGAAAAGGGTCTGGAAGTTTTTAAGCCTCTTGATTCATGCTCCAACTTACTCTGCAGGAAATTCATATCAGTCCATTTCCATTCCCACCAGAAGTATATGACATTACCTACTTCGATGCACCTTAATTAACAATAGACATTTTTAAATTTCTTTGCCAGTTTCAGGGGCGGAGAATTGCGTATAACCAGTGGCCTTTCTAACTGTAAATGTGATGTAAAACCCCCAATGCCCACAGGACGAAGTCCGAACTCCTCCAGTGGCATTGAAGGCCCAGCAGAACGTCTTGGCTGGCAGCCTTCACTCTGGCTTGATTGAGAGGGTTGAGGTGCAGGGAGCGGGGTGCTTCTCTCCTCGGTGCCTCTGTTCTGACCAACAGAAGCAGAAAGGGGGACGGAGGGGAACGGAGGACTCAAGCAAGGGCTGTGCTTACCTGCTTGGAGGCCAAGACCAGCTCTTCCGTCATAGAGATGGTGCCTCTGAGGCCAGAGCGGGCAGGGAGTGGAGATGCTGCGAGAATCTAGGCCCATTTCTGTGGTCACTGAGCTCTCAGCAAGGAAAGCTGGGAAGAGGCTGCGCACCAGGACGAGTTGGCTATGGCAGGATGCCGGGGGATGGGATGAAGAGCAGTAGAGCAAGCCTCCCCAAAGCCAGGTGAGGCCTGGATGCTGCACAGGGAGGTACCAGCAGCTGCTGCTGCTAAGGGAAGACGGGGGAGTCCAGGCCCTGGGCCGCTCCAGGTGACTGTGTCCTGGCAGCTGGGCAGGCCTCGAAATCTTGGACTTGATGCCTCATCGCTGCCTCTACTGTCATCTCCCAGTGGCTCTAGGCCTTGCCTGTCATCTGTGCACTCCATCTCAGCTCTGCTCAGATTTGGGGAGAACCCCAGGCTCTGCCATTAGTTTCCCTACATTGACACTATCATTTGTTTATTGAGGAAACCTATGAGAGGCCTGGGTTAGGGCAGGGTGGAGCTTTGGAAAAGAGTGGAATTCGACACACTCTGCCCTGACAGTAATACTTAAAAGAGAGCAGCAGGAGCAAAGTGGGGTGGCTTCCAGGAGGAGGTGGCACCTGTGCTGGACCTTGAGGGTTAGGCACTCCTTTTACACATGGAGTTGTGTGCTGGGCCGGGGCCGCTTTGTGGGGAGAACCAAGAAGAG